AATAATATTAAAGCAGGTGATCTAAAACTGAATTTCTGCGTTCAGCGTCATGTTTTTCATTCTCACCACCACATTTAAAAGTTTTATCGGTTCCCTAAGTGGTACCTATTTTGTACGTTGGAGGCTAATGATAAAAAAATTGGCCAAGCAAGTTTATACTTGCAGAAGATTCTAGAATTATAGATTCAGAACTAGTGAAGCCACTTCTGATCAACACACCACTTTTAAGCTCTCTCTGCATCTCCTCGTCGCAAAATTGTTTGCCATTTAACTGCTTGATACTTTATTTTAATTAAAAATCGCGTACAAACTCACCCTCGCATATCACTATTTTCAACCCTGTGAAGAGACAGCTTATGCTTTCCATTTACAATTTTCAGTCTTAAAACAATTTCGCTTTTTTCATTTCCGATGTATAAATAGTTGAAAATTTCTGTAATACACTAGAACTTTCTCTTCATTATGTCCCTTAGCTTCAAATTCATATTTTAGCTGACGGAGGCCAGTAAATTTATGGAAACGAATGCGTTAATAGTGGTAAACAGTAAGTCACTTTCTGCAACCTCTGATAAAAAATTCCTTCCATCTCGTCTTTTTAACCGCTTCAAAACTGATTAAAAGATGGGATGCAAAAAAATCAATAGCGTAGTTTAATTTTTTCTGTATTTTGATATTCTTTTGTTAAATCTGTTTAAGTACAGTGCTTGTTCAGTGAGATCTGAAGCAATAATATTTACTAATCAATAAATAAAATTTCTTCCATACATAGAATACTCGTCACTTATCAGGACCTGCTGAATCTTTAAACAGTGCTTTACTTTGCGAAAACAAATTCTGAAGTCTTCAGCAATTTATATTTTAACGGTTTATATAATAATCAAACTTTGGATCAATAAATGTGAGTAGCAACACTTAACCAGCGGTACTTTGAATCTGAAAAAGGAAAACTGAGCACCAAAATATGATTAACCGGATTTGCAGCATTTTTCGTATCCGTTTACCTTGTACAGTGGCTCTTCGTAATACTTCTAATAGTTGGGATTGTCAAACGTAAAAGCAAATACATTGTTCCCTGCTATAGCAGAAGCTGTTTTAGGCTATTCTTTATCTTCAGCATTGTATGTGACCACTATCAATACAACATTCTTTTCACTACGTATAAAGTTTTTATGTACCAGAAATTCAGTTAGATAAGCTAGCACATTCTCCCACTGTTTCTTAGTCGATTGAAAAAATGGCTAAAAATGAAGTAAAAACAAAAGTTTTCAGCAGTAAAATTTTCTGTTTGCTTATTAACTTGCAATACAATTCTGAAACTGTAAGGAGCAATCAACACAAAAAACATAATATTTGAAAAAAACTCCTGAACGTATAGGGGTCTCATATCTTATTGCTGTGCAATTCAGTCCGACATCTGTTGCACTGCAGGATATCCGTTTTCACCGTAAGTCATAATCAGTCTCCCTTTCTGTTTCTCATTTACTGTTTGCAGTGCTTTCTTCTTGATATTTCATACGTATAAAACTCTGTATTCAAAGTGCTAAGCACACGTACCGTTTCTGGAAGAAAAATTCGAAAAAAATGAATCAGCTAAATTATCTGAATCATCGTCCTACAAATTCAAATACTGGTGACGCTGTTGTTGCTAAAATAAATTTCTACAACTGTCAATAATAATTCCTTCACTCTCATACCATACCAAACTATCTATCTTACATTGTACACCAATCGCCCACCAAAAGCAACAAAATAAATAACGACTTAATAAAGACGTTTACAATGGCTCTCCTTTCGTAATACACAAGCCCTGAATCATCACCTCAAATGAGATGAACATGTGAAAGGATTTATAAATCTATAAATGTCGAAGTTACAAACCCCCAACCCAGCTAGCGACTTCTAAACATCCAAACATGAAGCATGTATAAAAGTCTAACTTCTTAGCTATTCTACAATTTGTAAGTAACTAAATTATTTAATACAGATTATAATCAAGAAATAAAAAGAAGAATAAATCTGCCCCCATAAAGTTAAATCAGATGCAACTTCGATAGCAAAGTTGCCAAAGGTTTATTCGCTACAAAAAAAAAAAAATTTTTTTTAAAGAATGGTTGTCTTTGTTTTGAACTCTGTTTAAAATGTGTGTTGTCGTTATTTATTGACAAACAGTTAGTTGTATTATTCCAAACAGTCTTTAAAACCGGGAAGAAAAATCCCCATTCAACAAAAAACTGATTCAAAAATTAACCTTCTTTTTATGCGCAATTTATCCGTACCTAAATAAATTTCATTTCATTGAATTAATAAAAAAAGAAAC